GCATCATATTACATGATGAAAAAAACACTGTTACTAGTTTGTGCTAGTCTGAGAAGTATCTAATAACCATGATTTTCAGCTTAAAAAGAAATAGGTCTACCCTGATGATGGCACAGTATCAAGTGGTTGTTAAAGTCTCTTTGCTGTTAGTGGTTAATCAGAGGACATCAAAACTCCACTGCATACTTTCTGGCTGGTTGTATATTTGATGATAATTACCAGGATAGGCAATGTGGATTTTGTCAATAATTTTTATCCTTGCAGTCATATTGAAAATAATTACTTATGCTTGAAACTTCTTGTTGTAGGGTATGTAGTTGAAGACCTATAATTTTATCCCTTTAGAATGCAGAAGCAACATTAGTTTGATTAAAATGAGCATCATGAAATTAATTTTTATATTATTTGTTGGCCAAAAAGTAAAATTTTGGGTTATAGAAATAATATGTAAAAAGTATGCCTTTATGTAAAATTTGGCAAAATAGTTTTTAGTTCAGATGTATTTGTCCTTCACCTTCTCTTAGCAACCACCGGATCCCACTAGCACATTGGAGTGGTCTGAGGATACATTTCAATATGGTGCAAGGAGCGAAGAATAAACATTGTTGCTTTATTTTTCAGAGTGCCCAGACTAAGGTCAAGTACATACTCACTGAACCCAGAAAGTATTTCTCAACTAAAGTATAATGACCATTGTAAAGGTAAAATCCATCTCAAAAGTGGCAAAGCATTATTCCTTGTGGCCCCCATGCCTGTGGCACCTTTGTCCCACATATGAGACACCCGAAAAAATAAACATTGCCAGGCGTCCTGCCAGTGTGACGCTGTATCGGGGCTTGTGCTCAGATGCAGCAGTGGGCCATGGCCAGAGTCGGGGCCAGCCCTGTGCGCAGATTTTTTAGCCGCCTGGAACCTTTTATTTTCGACTTCCAAATATACCAGCGGTAATGGGTTAATGAATCCTCATTATATATATTCTGGTAAGATAGAGTTTGGATTTCCAAAGAGGTCTTTGTGCTTTTATCAGAGTATATTTGATGGAAATTCATTAGCCCAGAGGTCAGTGGAGTGTGATTGCCTTACATAGAGAAGGGCCTACAAGGGGACAGAGGGTATAGGGGGTGATACTATGGATGTACCTGAAAGGAATCTGCCAAACAGTTGTAGATTTGCTTGTAGATTAGGCCTATATACATCTCATTCGGATAGAAAAAGTTATGGGAGAAAATTCTTAGTTTTTGACAGGCCTGCCATGATCAGGACAAATAGGATTGAGTGCACTTTCTGTAGTTAGCCATGACCATGTTGAATAGGACTTTGAGGATTAATAACTAAAACTAGTGACTTTATGTGAGTTTGATATATTGCAATGAAGATATTAAGTCTGCTCACACCTTTTTATTTACTAAAATAGATTCAGATATAATTTTGTTGATGGTTTAAGAAACTGGTAAATTATATTCAGACTGATTAACTTGAGATGCTAATATAGAAATTGATTAACTGTACCTAGCCCTCATATTTCTATAGATTTAGGGAGCTTGTCTTCTCATTGACACTATAGATTAGACTAATGATGAAGCAACTGAGTCATAGTTATATTTTTTGTGCTAAGGGAAAAAGTGAATAGCAGGACACACAAGATAGACAAACTCTAAAGTCTCATGGCCCATTCATTAGACCTAAGAATATGCACAAGTGTGTTGCATGATGAGTATAGTGATAAGGAAATTATGCTTTATATTTAGATATTTTATTGAATTGAGTTGGATGATTTAGAAGAGTACCCATAATATGTAACTGTAAATATTACCTCAAAGATGTATTTGTATATACAATTTATTTTGATAACATTATATTTAGGTCATATTTCATTCTATGAATAACCAATCTTGAAATGATGGATTAAGTATTGTAAAGGGATAGAGTTGTGAACATACTGGTACATATTTTATAATGATATTTAGATGGAATATAACTAACTTATTAATATCATTGTCATCTTCACCTTTTAACAGTTGAAAGGATTAATTGCAACATTAGAGAAACTGCCAAGTAGTCAGCAAAGGGAGGCCATAGACATCTTGCAACTAACAATAAACCACCAGTTCCATGGCACACAAGCTAATGAAGATGCTTCTGCTACCAGCTCAGCAGACTTCAGTATACCCAGAGATATTCACAGTCAGCAATCTCTCTCTCTGGGCAGGGAGAAATTGCAGGGATCACAGGATGTCATTGGACTGAAGGCACCAAACGTGCATCAGCAAAATATAAGTGAAGGGAGACTACATGGGGTTCATCAGCAAAATGTCATTGAATCTGAGGAAATCCTATCTGAGTCAGAACAGTCAAGTCTGAAGAAGGTGATTCTACCACTGCCGCATCAGCAGAATTCTGTTAAGGATCATTCACACGAACTACATAGTCAGTCACTGGAAGTAATACTACCACAGGATTTGAATGTGCCAAGAACACCAGACCACTCATTAATATCATTAGAACCATTCCCTCAAGCACACACTTCTGACCTTGGTACTGTTCACAGTTCCTTGCACCATAGTGTAGATACTCATACTGTCCAGTGCTTGCAGCAATCCTCTGGGGTTTTATCTCAGCAGACTGAAAATTTAACAGAAGAATTGGAGACATTTGACAGAGCACAGCAGGCAGCAGCTAAAAGAAATAGATTACAGGAAGTAGTTGAAATTGTATCACAAGAAATAGCTACATACAGAAGCCAGGAGAAACTGGGAAATGAAACACAAGACTCATCAGAATTAGAGTCACTGCTTCATCAGCATGAAGAGTTAGGGAGAGAAATGTTACAGGAACAAGATAATACACAAGACTTTCCTGGAAACCAAAATGTGAATAGTCCAGAAAACCAATTTCATGCAAGTCATTTAAGAAATGAGAATGTGAAAGCAACAGACACAGTTACTCAGGATGACATTGTGACAGAGAAAGATACTATACCTTCCTCAAGTTTTATTACAGAGAATGAAGGAGGGAGTATGTTTTCAGAGCAAGAATCATATGCATTTAATTTCAAGTTAGAATCAGAAAGAAATAGTTGCACAGACCTTCAGTATAGCAGTTGCAGTTTACCCAGAAAACATGTGGAAGAGATTACATCAGGATCATATTTTAGCAGTCAGGAAGTGGATAAAGAAGGTCATGTTGTCAGTCAGGAGCAGGAGTTAGTCAGTCTTGATCATGTTGAGAATGTTGTAGATCCCGAAAAGAACAAGATTGCAATCAATGAGCAAGAAGAACCAAACACCACAATAGCTAGTGGTACAGAAGGAGAAAAAGGTGATGAGAAAGACAGCGCATCACCTCCAGTAGAACGCAGGTCTCTCAGAAAGCGAAAATGCAGAAAGAAATACTGTACTGATACTGTCAAAGAAAAGAAATCTAAAAGAAGTGGTATTGACTCTACAGTACAAAAAAGAGATCAAGTACACAGTTCAAAGAGATTACCTGAATCAGCATTGGAAAAAGAAAACAAGGAAAACCAGTATGAGAAAACAGCGCATAAGAATACCAAAGGAAAAGAACCTGTCAGTTTGAACCCAAGCTCTAGTAGTGAGGTACTTTCATCTGCAAATATTAGCCAGGAAACTCAGAATGAAATTAGCTGTGAACAAACCAAAGAATCAGCAGTGGACCAAAGTCAGACACAGAACACAGCTGATAAGCAAGCCAAGTCACTTCAGTCAGACTCTAGTACAACTACACTGACTGAGCTAAGGAATGAGTGTGATGGTTCATGGCCTCCCACACTGAGACCAGTTTCCTGTCGGAGTTGCAAGAAGGAATTGCCAGACGAGTCTCTGTTCTCAGTGCACCTAAGACAGTGTGAGGGACACCTGGTCTGCAACTATTGCCATGCTAGATTTGTACACAAGGTAAGGTAATATCAGTTAGCATATGTGGAAAATAAAAATTGATTATTCTTACGAATACAGTTAAATGCATAAAAGGAATGTTTATCAAGAGTTATTTCTCTTTCTTCCACAGGTAACATTTTCTAGACATATAGAGGGACACAAAAGAAATGTATGCAGCAAGTGCCCACAGAGTTTCTGCAGTCACAAGAAGCTAAAACACCACATGAAAGTGGAGCACAACTTTGATCTGGTGACAAAAACATACCCTTGCCAGTTTTGTACCCGAATTTTTCTCAAGAGATTTTCTCTCTACTATCATCTCAAGATTCATGCTTCAGAGTCTGAGGTAAGGATTAAGGAATAGGTGCTTTGTCTTGAGAACTTTTTCTCTTAGAATTATGCTTATGTCTTTATAAATGTATACTCTGTTTGCCTCTATTTCTTCTGACTGTCTATGTATGTATCTATATCTCTCACACAGACTTTCTCCTAGTCTAATGTAATTTTTATAGATTAAATATTCTTTTTATTATTTTCATTCAGATTGTGTGTCAGAAGTGTGGGGTATTCTGTCAAGGTAATGAGAATTTCAAAGCACACATGGCAGAGCATGTAAAAGCAACAGATTTCCACTGCCATATCTGCACTGCCAGCTTCCGACGTCGCCAGCAGTACAATGATCACCTTAAGGTATGGTATTCTGACACTGCAATGTTATATGTTTCATGGCTGCTTGTTTTGTGAAGAAAGGAATAGGATTTTTGTTGATGATTTTGTGGTATTCAGCTATTTCTCTTGATATTTTATTAGAGCTTGTAGTATTGGATTTGTTGTTTTACTCATTTGTTTTGTTAGTCCTTTTAAGACCATAAAGTCATGACAGCTAGTGAAAGTTTCTGAACTGGTCTGTACCCATTACAACAGATCAGCAGTGAGTGGCTTAACATCATAATTCAGAGTATCAGCTTAGAAGGGTCATTATTTTAGCAAAACTTCTAATGAAACTCTTTTCATAACTCCTGGCTGATCAGATCCATGAATTATATGAATATGCATAAAAAAGAAAAGAAAATGGAAAGCAAAGCTCTAATCATAATTGTTCTC